CAAATTACCGAGCTACCATCATCTTTTACTAAAATGACATCCAATTCGTTATGGAATTGAAGGAATAAAGCACCATTCCCCACTTTTGCATGTCCTCACAATTTTCCTTAGGAGCTGTTTGGATAGGTTTTTTTGGGCGGTAAAAGAGGAGAAAGCTGTCAAAAAATATCAGCTTTCCCCCAAAATTACCTTTTTAAGTGGTGATTTTGGGGGAAAGCTGTCAAAATGCTGATATTTTTGGCAGCTTTCCCCACTTTTACCACCCAAAAAAAAAAACCAAACAGCTCATTATAGAGTAGTATAGATACGCTCAAAAAGTAAGAAAAAGAATTGCACCATTCCCAACTTGACATAGGGCTAACCGAATTACCTCATATAAGTGGCTCAGAATTTTTTGTACCATGCGGGACATTATGATTAGATATTTACTTCATCTCAGACATTCCATTACTCCGATATAAATAAAAAAAATAATGCTAACAAGGCCATGCTTTCCGAACACTACAAGAAAAAGAATTTCAAGCTCCTTTAGAGAGTAAATCTTTTTGGTTAAAAAAAAACTTACTCTTCAAAAGGAACTTGCAATTCTTTTGAAGAGTAACTTCAAAAATAAAAACAACAATTCACTATCACTATATATATAAAAAAGACGAACCTGATTACTTTTGCGGAACAAAATTTTTGCGGGACAAGGTGTTCAGATACATTTGCTCCTCATAATTTCAAAACTGCGAACCGAAAAGCATCGCATCCTAACTATGTGTATATTGGTCCCAAAATAGTCATTTGAGCCGCACGCTAAAAGTATATATAATTTTTCTTCATCTTAGGAGCAATATGTAAATACACGGCAAATGATCCACTAAAAGCTAAGCTAATTGTCTTATACTCTCTTGGATTAGTATTACATGTGAAAATTCCTTACTATAGAACAAAAAAAGTTGTTAGATAGCCGGATTAATTTTTCTAGACTTCTTCGTACCTAATTGAAACCTCAAATATAATCTAATGTAATCTGGTGAAGCTTTCTTGACACCATGGAAAAAATCATTCTTTGTAAACCTAGCGAACATAGCTCACTATTTTACATTAAGTTAAAGACTAATGTTTATTTGATATCAAGTCTAAACAGCTTCCCATATATCTTTATTATTAATTATTGGTTAAATGCATATTTGGCTACTATGATGATCTGGATTAAATCATATGAACCACGTTACAAGATCTAAGAGTTGCTTGTGACGAAATTGCTATCTACTTGGAGCTAGTTAGGCTAATGCTCACAAATTTGGAGGGTTACTCTTGATTACCTTCTTTTTGCTGATGATAATTTGTTTAGTTTGGATTAAATTCCAATTACATCTATATCTCTTTGACAATTAGAACTGCTTTAAGTCGTATACGTACACTCGTACATGTAGCCCTACAAATATTTTGACGCTGGCACGTGTACTACACGTGCCTCTCTTACTAGTACTCTTCAAAGGAGCCTGCAATTTTTTTTTTAAATTAAAGTTGAAAATTTGATAAAAGATAAAAATTCCCAAATTCCCCCGAAAAACGAAACGACACAAAAACGGAAATGTCCGCCGGTAACCTCACCGGCGGTAACCAGAAGCCCATATGCACCATCTGCTTCGAGGAGCTCCGCCCCATCGTCGAGGACCTCCAGTCCATCCCCGTCTGCGGCCACGTCTTCCACGAGCTCTGGTAACCCCCCCCTCTCTCAGTAGAAAAAAGGGTATTTATTTTTTATAAGCCCAAAGTTTTATCCTAATTGTTTTCGAACCCATTCGCCTCTAAGACAACTCTAAAAAAAATTGCCATACTGGCTACTGCTACTTTTCTTTTGATTTCACGAACAGCATCCAGCAATGGATGGAGTGCTGTCCGTCGGGGAAGAAGCCCACGTGTCCTGTCTGCAAGCAATCGTGTTTGAGGTCGGCGGTGATGAGATTGTTCTTCCAATCGATTGGCGACCAGACGCAGGTTTTGGAGGGGGCGGCAGGTGAGGAGGTTGATGCTGAGGAGTTGGAGAAGGAGGTGATGAGATTGGGAGGGAAGGTAGCGGTGTTGACGGCGGCGTTTACCTGTAAAAAAACTTAAACTTCAGAAAAGAACCATCAGGGTTGTATTAAGAAACTGAATGACGAGGTATACACAAAACCCCTCTTTGTTTTAGTTGCATTTTGCCTGATTTAGATGCGTTTTTAATGATTCTTTTGAATTGATGGGGGTATTGAGTCTTAAGCATTGGGAAATTATGTTGGGAGGTCGATATGCTGTCCTGTTGTTTGAAGATAATATATTTCTAGAAATATAATTTCATGATATCGTGGTGCTTATTAATTAGTTTTTTTATTAGGTTATCTTTCATCATGTTTTTCCCCATAAATTGGTTCTTCATTTTATATTATGAGACTTAAGTATCTACATTTACCTGTAAAAAAACTTAACTTCAGAAACTGAATGACGAGGTTGTATTAAGAAACTGAATGACGAGGTATACACAAAACCCCTCTCTGTTTTAGTTGCATTTTGTCTGATTTAGATGCGTTTTTAATGATTCTTTTGAATTGATGGGGGTATGAGTCTTAAGCATTGGGAAATTGCGTTGGGAGGTCGATATGCTGTCCTGTTGTTTGAAGATAATATATTTCTAGAAATATAATTTCATGATATCGTGGTGCTTATTAGTTTTTTTATTAGGTTATCTTTCATCATGTTTTTCCCCATAAATTGGTTCTTCATTTTATATTATGAGACTTAAGTATCTCCATTTACCTGTAAAAAAACTTAAACTTCAGAAACTGAATGACGAGGTTGTATTAAGAAACTGAATGACGAGGTTGTATTAAGAAACTGAACGACGAGGTATACACAAAACCCCTCTCTGTTTTAGTTGCATTTTGTCTGATTTAGATGCGTTTTTAATGATTCTTTTGAATTGATGGGGGTATGAGTCTTAAGCATTGGGAAATTGTGTTGGGAGGTCGATATGCTGTCCTGTTGTTTGAAGATAATATATTTCTAGAAATGTAATTTCATGATATCGTGGTGCTTATTAGTTTTTTTATTAGGTTATCTTTCATCATGTTTTTCTCCATAAATTGGTTCTTCATTTTATATTATGAGACTTAAGTATCTCCATTTACCTGTAAAAAAAACTTAAGTTCAGAAACTGGATGACGAGGTATACACAAAACCCCTCTTTGTTTTAGTTGCATTTTGTCTGATTTAGATGCGTTTTTAATGATTCTTTTGAATTGATGGGGGTATGAGTCTTAAGCATTGGGAAATTGCGTTGGGAGGTCGATATGCTGACATGTTGTTTGAAGATAATATATTTCTAGAAATATAATTTCATGATATCGTGGTGCTTATTAATTAGTTTTTTATTAGGTTATCTTTCATCATGTTTTTCCCCATAAATTGGTTCTTCATTTTATATTATGAGACTTAAGTATCTCCATTTACCTGTAAAAAAAAACTTAACTTCAGAAACTGAATGATGAGGTTGTATTAAGAAACTGAATGACGAGGTATACACAAAACCCCTCTCTGTTTTAGTTGCATTTTGTCTGATTTAGATGCGTTTTTAATGATTCTTTTGAATTGATGGGGGTATGAGTCTTAAGCATTGGGAAATTGCATTGGGAGGTCGATATGCTGTCCTGTTGTTTGAAGATAATATATTTCTAGAAATGTAATTTCATGATATCGTGGTGCTTATTAGTTTTTTTATTAGGTTATCTTTCATCATGTTTTTCCCCATAAATTGGTTCTTCATTTTATATTATGAGACTTAAGTATCTCCATTTACCTGTAAAAAAAATTAAACTTCAGAAACTGAATGACGAGGTTGTATTAAGAAACTGAATGACGAGGTATACACAAAACCCCTCTTTGTTTTAGTTGCATTTTGTCTGATTTAGATGCGTTTTTAATGATTCTTTTGAATTGATGGGGGTATGAGTCTTAAGCATTGGGAAATTGTGTTGGGAGGTCGATATGCTGTCCTGTTGTTTGAAGATAATATATTTCTAGAAATATAATTTCATGATATCGTGGTGCTTATTAATTAGTTTTTTTATTAGGTTATCTTTCATCATGTTTTTCCCCATAAATTGGTTCTTCATTTTATATTATGAGACTTAAGTATCTACATTTACCTGTAAAAAAACTTAACTTCAGAAACTGAATGACGAGGTTGTATTAAGAAACTGAATGACGAGGTATACACAAAACCCCTCTCTGTTTTAGTTGCATTTTGTCTGATTTAGATGCGTTTTTAATGATTCTTTTGAATTGATGGGGGTATGAGTCTTAAGCATTGGGAAATTGCGTTGGGAGGTCGATATGCTGTCCTGTTGTTTGAAGATAATATATTTCTAGAAATGTAATTTCATGATATCGTGGTGCTTATTAGTTTTTTTATTAGGTTATCTTTCATCATGTTTTTCCCCATAAATTGGTTCTTCATTTTATATTATGAGACTTAAGTATCTCCATTTACCTGTAAAAAAAAACTTAAGTTCAGAAACTGAATGACGAGGTATACACAAAACCCCTCTTTGTTTTAGTTGCATTTTGTCTGATTTAGATGCGTTTTTAATGATTCTTTTGAATCGATGGGGGTATTGAGTCTTAAGCATTGGGAAATTGTGTTGGGAGGTCGATATGCTGTCCTGTTGTTTGAAGATAATATATTTCTAGAAATATAATTTCATGATATCGTGGTGCTTATTAATTAGTTTTTTTTATTAGGTTATCTTTCATCATGTTTTTCCCCATAAATTGGTTCTTCATTTTATATTATGAGACTTAAGTATCTCCATTTACCTGTAAAAAAACTTAAACTTCAGAATTTACATAAGTAAAGCTTCACATTTTAAAAGCTTGGCAAAATACTTAGTTTTATGGGCAAATTGCTTCTTTGTCCTTCTTATATGGCTTGAGTTACTGGACTGAATAGTGAAATTATATATATATAACACTTGTAGCTGTAGCTGGTGCCTGACAGCCCCCTTATATCCATTGTCCATGATTCTAATTGATGTGATTTATTTATCAGCTCTCAGCATGGAAGGACCTTGCAAAAAAAGAGGAGGCAAGGAAAGAAGAATATAGAAAAGAGAAAGAGCGTGTGGAGCAATATCTTAGGATGAAAACTGAGGTTAGTTTGTTTGAGCTTTGAATATAATCCATTTCACTCTTTATTTTATTGGCTTTTATGCCCCAGTTTGAATTGAATCCATATGCATTAGGAGCTATCAAGAACATCAATAGAGTGCGGAAAACTGCAGGAGAGGAGTTTGGGATTGGCAAAAGAGCTTGCTGCAGTAAAATTGTAAGAGTAGCGGTTGCAAACACATGCTGAAAATTTGGTGGCTATCATCTCTCACTCATAGTTTCTGTTTATTTGCGATAAATAACTGTTTATTGTTCAGGGCAACAGATTTGAATCTGGGGGATGAAGAGATGGTGAAGCTTGCATCACTTGGTCACAGTGGTAATCCACAGAACACAATAGATGTTTTAAAGAAGTCGCTTTCCCTTCGCAACAAGTAAGTTTAACCAATGTGCACGACAGAAATAATTTTTTTCATTTATGTTCACAAGTAATTTGTGAAGCACCATATTGATATTTCTTGCCAGATGTCTTAGGTTAGCATACTACATGAATTATAGTCCATAGGAATTCAGGAATTCCAATGTATGCATAAAATATTCTCTATAGGATGACAATTTGTGATTTGATCGAAAACAACCATAAACATAAACATGAGCTATAGTCCTTAAAAATTCAGGGATTAGGTGCACGCGTGTTATATTTTATGTGTGATGGCAATTTCTAATTTGGTGGAAAACGGTGAAATTATGGGTTAGTTCACAGAAATTCAAGAATTTTGGTTTACACATAATATTATTCGTGGTACGTCAATTCGTAAGTTGATTGAAAATGGCCAAAATCATGGTTTGTTTACATAAGTTTGGGCATTTCAGAGTAAGTATTAAATGTTCTCCGTGGGATGAAAATTAGTGGTTTGGTTGAAAACCGCCATAATCATGAGGTGTAGTCCATTGAGATTCAGGAATTTGTGTACACAATTTTTATGGATGGTGACAATTTGTAATTTGGTGGAAAACGACTAAAATCATTGGTTTATAGTCCATATAAATTTGGTTTATGCTTAAAATGTTCTTTGCGGGAGTCAAATGTGGCTTAGTCGAAAACAACCAAAATCATGGTTTATAGTCCATAGAAATACGGAAATTTTGGAGTCTACATAAAATATTCCCTACGGGATGACAACTTGTGATTCGCTCGAAAATGGCAGAAGTCATGGATTATGTAGTCCATACCATAGAAATTTGGGAATTTCAAAGTATCAATAAAATATTCTATACGGTACGACAACTTTTGACTTGATCGAACATGGCCTAAATCATGGATTATAGTTCGCATAAATTCAAAAAATTCAAAGTATGCAACTATGCATTAAATATTCTATGCAAGATGGCGGCTTGTGATTTGCTCCAAAATGTCCAAAATCATGTGGAAATTCAATTTTTTTTTGAAATATGCATAAAATATTATCTGTGGGATCAGTGTACATTAATGCACTTTCACCTATGAATTGCAAAACTATAACATGTAAAAGTTAACAGTATATCAGGAGGAACTTGGTACAATAGTTGGGTGGAGGATAAAAAGGATGAGGAGGTTTGAATCCTGGAGAGTGGAGAGTCAACGAATGGAGTGGACCTACATTCCCTGAAGTAGTTTTTGTAATATTAATTTTGGGCATCAATATATTTACTTTTTGCATCTACTTGAGATGTTGTAGCCTCCTCTGCTTTAGCAGTCCTGAATGCTTGTTGATGCTAACATTATGGTGCAAATGAATTTTACTTAGTATCTAACTATCTATATACAGATCTGCGTAGTTGAATCTATATAATAATCTGAAATTTTCACATTGTTTCTTCACCATTTTGTGCAAACTTTTCAATCTTTTAGGTTAAAACTTATGAAAGAAAAATAAATTGAAAATAATCATGGTTCTAATCCCTCTCTCTGTCTGTGCCTAACTCTATGCCTGACTTCTTTAGGACCTATAAAGAACTGATGGCTCAATGCAACCTTTTAGGAAGATCAGATGCTCGTGCACGTAAAAAGCTTGAGAAATCCAAAGAAAAGATAGCGAAACTAAATGTAAGTCTTTTACAACCACAGAAATATTTCTACATTCTGCTTTAAGTGGATCTAGCTGTAATGATTTCCTGCTTATTGTCTGAATCAGACAAGGTTGCAAGAATTGGAGAAGGCACTTGAACAAAAAGAAAACGAGGTCCTTAGAAATTTGAAGTCTTCATATAAAGGCGGAGGTGGGAAACCTGTGGAAGAGATGGCAAAATTAGTTAACCATTCAGATCATCTAAAAAGAAGTACCAACTGTCCTGCAGCCAAAAATTCTTCTACTTTCTTGGTGCCAAACGAAAGAGACAGTGTGATTGATTTAGAAGCTGATTCTTGCTTTATGGATGAAGACGGTTTTGGGCTGTCCCCCAAGATGAATAAGCATCCGACACCTGATTCAGATTTCCAGGAGTCACCAATATATTCGAAAGGAGCTATTTTAAAAAATCCAGAACACTTGTCTGCTAATCAAGAAATTGGTGTAGCTGATAAACCCTTGAGTTCATACATTAATAGGAAGAATGAAGATAAGGGCATTTCTGAACAGCTAAAAGCGAAGAAAGTTACACATGTAGCAAGTGCCACTTGGATGACAGAAACAATAATTATTGATGACATTTCCAAGCAAACACCTACAACTGCACTGAAAAAAGAAGCTCAAACGCACAATTCTGCTGTTAACTCTGGTGAGTCTTTTTATCATGTCACGAAATTTAAGATTTCTTTCAAGCATCATTTGGTTCTACTTTCAGGCATCATTTTGTTCCATTTGATTAAAATCATACTTATTAGGTTTTGTGTAACTGTGTGCAACCAATATTAGATTTCATTTGTGCATAGTATTGATGTATCAAGAATTGGATTTCCACGCCACATTCATATCTTAATTTATATAGAAATAGAATATAGCTACTTTGATTCATATATGCATATCTTTCCTCTGGTCTCTAGGTCTCTTTGTTTTGTGTTATGTGAATGTTTGAAAGTAATCTTTTTGTGCTCAAATGCTTGAGAAAAGCAAATCCTTTCTTTCAATGATTAAGCTCACAACTCGTCCTTTATTTATATGCTTACTTGCATTTTGAAGTTGATCTACATTGGTTGGTAAATTTATCTCAATTCGTTCATCGACAATCGTCTCATGGCTGATCCATGTATACATCAGGTGGGCTTTTTGGATCAGAAAGTGCAAATAGAACCGGGAAATGGTGCAGGTCTTCTTCCTTTGGAACGGGTGCAAGTAACGTGGAGTTAATATCTGTCGGATCCGATGGCAGAGGTGGGAGGATCAAGGTGCTGAGAGATCATGATCAATCTTTGGTGGGTGTTTAGCTCTAGTTTATGATTATCGTCAGATTTTATGACTTGCATTCTCTTTTTCTTGTTTATGCTATATTCTTTATATTGCGCAGGATGTGAAGGCAAAAACATTGCGGCCCAAGAAACAAAAGCATGGAACTCAACGAAGTGGACAGTTTCACATTGAGCACTTTTTTAAATCAGGGAGTTAAAAGATTACCTGGGCCCTTGAAGAGGTCAACGCTGACAACTTGTTCCTGCTAAAGATTAGCAGTCTTTTTGTGTAGAAGGCTACAGATTTTGTTGTATATTCAGTGAAATAACAGTCTAAATTTAAATTATTGTGCTATAATATGTAAAATTTTTGGACATGTCTCCATTTAGAAATAGATGCTGGCAACTTGCGTGAGATACAAGCAAATGTTAGTCATGAGATACAAGAAAATGTTACTGGGTTTATTTCAATTTGTGATTTTTTTTTGAAATAGAACCTTTTTATTTGTCTGTATAGTTTGTAAGTTTTTATACAGGTTTATCTCGGCTCTCAACTGAATGGTGTCTTCGTTCTTCAAATTGTGCTCTCATTAGCAATAATGAGATAGTATAGTGAAATTTAATTTGAAAAGCTATTTTCACTTGCAAAGTGTGCCCTCTTTTTATTTTTGGAAGCTTATTGGTCATCTTCTTTTGTATCCTAATCTTATATTACTTTTAACATGATTAATTAATGTAGATTGATTTAGAAGCTGAATGGTCATTTTTCAACTTATATCATTATTCGATTTTAACAGACATTATACAGAATCACGTTGGTATTAGTATCCATATCCATAATTAGTAAGAAAAAAATGTAATAAATAATATATCCATTGCCCTTGCAAGACAAAATTATCAGATTGATATATTTTGTTGAACCTTAGTGACGCATTAGTCTATTTTCTTACTCCGGCGTCAATTTGATATATACGTAGGCTATGACGACAAATTTAGCTTGTATTTTTGCAGGAGCCAAAATTCTGGCCAAATTGAGTTACATGATCCTCACGCGCGACCCACATGGCTGCCAACGTGATGGTAATTTGGAATTTGGATCAATTAAATTGTTAAAAGATATTTTTTTTCTAACATTAGGGCTCAAATTTAGGGTCCAAATTGGAAAGTTTTGGTTCTTCCTCCTAGCATTAAATTGGCTATGACAAACGAAATTGAAGTTAGATTATATATCCTCAAGCTCTTCCTCAAGGTCAAGCTCAAATATGAGCATGGAAGAAGCAAACTAATGACTAAATGGGATAAAAAGCCCTAATTTACGTAAATCAACCACATTATGGCCAAATCAAGATTTTGAATCCATTAAATAACATTATGCACAAGAAAAATTTCTACAATTTTTGGAAGATTAATCCCCTCCCTCACATGAATAGAGAAAAAGAAGAAGATAGAGACTTTCTTTTGGGGGTGGGGAGTGGGGGTGGGGGTTGAGTTTTTTTTTTACTTTTTTTCTTTCAGTATTATCCTGCCATGTAAGCCCACTTAAACCATATTTAGCTTCATATGAGGAATCAAGTGACTCAATTTGATTGGAATTTTGACTCCAGCCAAAATATAAGTTAATTTGTCGCTATAGCCTACATAATATATCAAATTGTTGCCGGAGTAAGAACATGCACCAATGTATTACTGATGCTCACCAAAATATACCAAATCCATTATTTTGCCGGTCAGTCATTTATTAGGAGGCAAAAGTCTCATAGCATCAGAAACGTAATAATAGACCCAAATCCGAAGAGATCTCTACGGATCCAAATGCGGTCGAACGCGGATCCATAGTTTCCTAACCCGATCCAACAGTAAAATGTACAACGTCCTCACTGGGACGTTGGCGGCTTATAGAAACAAAGCAGCCTGATCTCTGCTAACGTGCGCCTCCGCCATCAAAATCTCTCTCTCTCTGCTCTCACCTCTTTGGCCCTTAAACCTCCAGAAGAGCCAGCGTCTTCTAACGACTCCCAAACCCTTCACATTAAATAATAATAAAACATTTATTATTAAACAGAGTTGCAGATAATTCGAAGCCATTTAACTACTCAGTCAAATGTCCTCAGGTCGATCTCGCTCCATTTCAAATCTCTCTCTCGATTAAAGCCCTAATATTTCCCTAATCCCTAACCATAATCAAATTCAACCAACAGTTCTCAGGCTAATGGCGTCGATGACCACCGCTTCGTTGCGGTGCCCCTCGCAGTCTTTGAGTCTTAAACGGATCCAGCGCTTGCCATCTCCCGCATCATTTCGCAGATCGTTTGTCGTCGCCGCTTCGGATTTCGCGAATGAGAACCGAGAGTGAGTCTCCTTACAGAAGGCTTTATCGAAAATTGATTTTTTTTTCTGTTTATTTTAGTGTAATTTTTGTGTGAATGCTTAGGTTCGTTATTGTTGGTGGAGGGAATTCCGCGGGGTATGCGGCTAGGACTTTCGTCGAGCACGGGATGGCCGATGGTAGGCTCTGTATGGTTACCAAGGAGGTACCTTTTTGCTGATTTTTGAAAATATGTTTTTATTCGATGGGCTACAAATGTAACGGATTGGTGTATCTTGAGTGCTAAATCTTAATGAAACTGGCTCGTTTGGGGTATTTTATTGCGTATATTTTTGGATCATTAGTTTCACTAGGACTAAAATTGTGTTGGATGATGCAGTGGATATGATCATGTTGCTGAGATACTTCATACATGTAGATGTTCGTGGCTAGTTATCGAAATATTGATTTCTGTGTCTTAGAAGTTTATTTTCTAACACATATCTGTGACACAATCGCTAGCTGGGGATCTTTGCCTCCTTTTTACTTGTTTTTATCACGTGTGTACCTGTGTGCAAGTTTTTAGCTGTATACCAATCGATCTGATTATAGCCTTATTTTTCTAAAGAAATTAGACTGCTGAATATTCTACTGTGAAGATTAGTATAACTCATAGAGTTGTCTATTGCGACGGATTCTGTTATATATTTTGAACTACCCAACTTTGCTTTCTTTTAAGCCTAAAAGGTTCTAGTCTATAACAATTAAGAGTATATATAAATGTTCTTTTAATATATTTTTTTCTTTTGGATGTAACATGTTTTACCTTTGCAGCCTGTTGCACCGTATGAGAGACCAGCGCTAACGAAAGGCTATTTGTTTCCTCCAGATAAGAAACCTGCACGTCTACCGGTAAGGTCCGGTTAATTTTTATACTTCTTTTTGCTATGTGAAGTGTTTGCAGAGTATGACCGGGTGGCTGGTCAATTTGATGAAGTTAGAGTAGTATCGCAAATTCGTGTTATACACATCTCATAGTTACTTCTAAAGTAGCATCGTCAAAGTTTCATTTTCTGACTTTTATTTGTGAATGGCTGTCATTCTTTGATCATCTATCTTGGTTGCATATTGATTTGAAATTAGTGTTAAGTAACATTGAAAATATAAAGCACACATGTTCTACTTTGTACTTACCAAAGTTCTTAAGTTGATATAGCTGATAGGAGAAGTTTCATGTTTGGTTATGAGATATCCTGAATTCTGAATCATATGGGGAGACTGCCAATAGCAAAGTAAGAAAGGAAATTTCCAAAAAGGGGGAAAAACCAGTAAGAAACTCCACATAGGTAATTTGGAATGTTCAAGCTATAATTTTTGCTTTAAGTGATGAGTATGCACTTTCTATTTTGTTTCATGAAAGGGGTTAATCAATCAATGTCTTATGGCTCTTTTCCCTTATTCTTAATTGTTTTTAACTGATGTTTCAGGGATTTCATACATGTGTCGGTTCTGGTGGGGAAAGGCAAACCCCAGAATGGTACACGGAGCAAGGCATAGAGGTGTGCAGATCTTGGCATGATTTTGTCATCTCTTTTATCACATTATAGCATGCATGCTACATACATAAATGAGTGCAAATCTTCCTAAGAAACATGCAAGGATGAACCTGCTACAAGCCTACAACAGTGAGGACATCAGGAACATACAACATGGCTTATCCTTACGAAAATGGAAATAATAGTATACTTTCACTAATTAAACTATATTTCTATAACTATTCCGATCATTTGATAACAATACATCTTATGATATTTTGGGCAAACTTAGTTTTTCTTATATAAACGTTATACTCTCACATATTTCTGTGGCAACACAAAGGTTCTAGATCTGGGCTCTCTCTCTTTCTGTAGAGTAGCATAGTATTCAACATCCATTTATCTGCTTATGTCTCAAAGCTTGTTTGTAACTAGAAGGCTTAGCTTGATTTTCTTTTTGGTTGGGGCTTTCTCTTATGTCTTTCAAGTCACACCCATACACATGCGAGCATGCAAACACACACAAAAAAGCATGCAGATCAGTGGTATCAATGTAGACATGCTTGCATGTTTGCATTTGTGCAAGCAAATTAATTAAATGTTTGAACATTCTTTATAGCTATGGTTTTATCCTACTGCCACGACTTTTCTCTTAGATATCCAAACTTATTGATAATTAAACTTGGCTTTGAAGGTTTTATATCAAGATCCAGTAGTAGGCCTTGATACTGAAGCACAAACCCTGACTACATCATCAGGGAAACTTCTCAAGTATGGATCTCTTATAATCTCTACAGGATGCGAATCTGCAAGGTACTTCAACTTTGATTATGTGAATCTAAAATGTTTGATATCTTTACTTTTTTGCTTGACCTTATATTTCTTATGTTTATATTGAGGCAAGTGATTTCTAGTTGAACTCCCCTACTGAAATATTATTATAGTATAAATTCACAAGAAATTAAGAAGGGGAAAAACAAAAATGTAGGAAGTCAACAAAAAACTAAACAAGGAAACTTTATATTGCAGGAAGTATCTATTTCCAATGTCATTGACCATATCAGTCATCATTGTCCAGTTCTCATATCAAATCAAAATTTTGTTGGGAACATAGTGGATCCCTAAAGATAGTCAAATTGATGGCCATATTTCAACCAGCATTATCCCTTTAATTTGGTTGCTATTTTTGGCTGTGGAGACTATAAGAAGAAAGGAACTTGCTATGTCTTGCAAGTCCAAATGATTAGTATGAACAACATACTTTGAACTCTTTGGAATTCTCCTTTAATGGGATAGAGTCTAAAGAAGAAGGAAAATGTCAGATTTTCCATGGTGGTCAAACAGTCTAGAAGGAAGGTGGGAGGGGGGGGGTGTAGAAGTGATAGATTTTCCATGATGAGTTATATTCATACTTGAGGCACACATCAAGCTCAAGAAGTCAGCATTCATGTTATTTATTATCAATGATTTAAGTGAAGTTTGTGTAGAGAGCCTTTGCATTCAACAAAGTTACCGCTGTACATATCAGATTTGCTTTATCACTTCCAAACATCATATAGTGCAGACTAGACACATTATTTTTATAAGAGGCTAGTTGAGACATGATAACATTACCTTAATGTTTAATGAGTCTAGTTCCAACTTTGGTCAGGACTCTGATTCAATATCATTATGCATTCACACTAAATGTACACTAGTTATGTTAATTTATACTCAAGCATCATGACAATTGACTTCCAATTTTTTATACTCTTTTATGTTGGTAAACTTTTGGTAAACACAATGGGAAATTTGCTAATTGGCATGCTATTCTTTTTCTTTTTTTATTTTTCTAAACAGAGGAATTCTCTTTATCTGGTACACTAATTACATGTTGATTCTACTTCAGATTTCCGGAAAAGATTGGAGGAAACTTGCCTGGAGTCCATTATATACGTGATGTGGCTGATGCTGATTCACTGATCTCTTCATTGGTATTTATTGCTGCTTCTCTTTTCATTATTTGGAGTTACTAATTTCTGAACAGAAATTTGAAAAACTTTTGTCTATGGCTTGTCTCTGGACCATTATATTTCTCTGGACAATTATGTTTGTCTGCATGCAAGTGTATTCTATTCGTAATTTGGGAAGTTGCATATACGATCTATGATACTTCGATAGTTCTTTTTCCCCAACATGAAGAAACTGTGGTGCATATGTAGACATGACTTCGCCTTAATGTTCAGACGAACTACACTTAACGAGAGTCTGATAACTCACCATTAACCACATACTACAACCTCATTCAACAAGTTCGTCTGATGTTGATGCCTTCTGGATCTTTACTATCATGTAGAAAGATGGAGTCTCGTTGGCCTTGAAGGCACATAAGCTTGTATGTCGAGAAATAGAAGTACAATCATTTGTGTGCGATATCTAGTCACCTTAGCAAATATTGTCTGATCAATATACTCGGTTTTCTACAAAATTTGGGTTCCACGTTTTGTCAAAAGCTTTTTTCTTGCATCTCTAGTTACCTTGGAAACGAATTGGAAGTTTGCATAGAGCTAGAGTGCCAACACGTGGCTAGTTTTTGGTCATGGGATCTCTTTAACTAAAAATTTTGCTCCACTTTGAATCATCTTCTGGTGAAAGAGGCTTAGATGATATGATATTGATGTATATGATTGGTGGATTGTCTTTGATAGAGGTATTGTTTAGATGTTTCAGACTTAGATTTAAATTAGTTTCATTCGTATGAAATCGTGAATGGATGCTTTCCGTACTCCTCGATACATCTTTTATCTAGTCTAGTTTTGTTTTGTGGTGTGGAAATTGATTTTGATTCCGACATTAACATGGTGGCATGCTTCTTTTTCTACCCATACTCTCTTTTAAAATTTGCAGTTTATATATTAATATTGTTTTTATAACTGGACTGTTATCTTGTAGGAGAAAGCCAAAAAGGTTGTTGTGATTGGTGGGGGTTATATTGGCATGGAAGTTGCTGCTGCAACCATTGGATGGAATCTTGATACCACTGTAAGAATACTTTAATATTTGGTTATAAATATGTCTGCATAGCTAGGGAAAACTTTATCATTTAACATGTAAGCTATAGGGATTGACATATTCTGTTCTGTGTACCTTGAAACTATCTGTACTTTTACAAACTAATGACGCTTAATTGGTGGTGCTTTGGCGTTCTTGGGGATTTCAGTTACAAATAGTTTGACAACATAGTATTTTGATTCTGAAAAGTTTGTTATAGCTGTTTCCTGGTATTTTTAGTAAAAGAGTTCCTTGACAGATTATATTTCCAGAGGATCATCTGATGACAAGGTTATTCACTCCTTCGCTCGCTCGGAGATATGAAGATCTTTATTCTGAAACTGGCATCAAAATATTAAAGGTGACTTTAATTTTGACTTTACTTCTTTACAATATATTTTCGAACCTGTAATCACTAGTGTTATGTCATTATATGTATCTTTCTTTTTTATCAGGGGGCTCGCATTGACAAGCTAGCAGCAGGTTCTGATGGAAGAGTTGCCACTGTTATCCTTGGAAATGGGTCCACACTTGAAGCAGATACAGTATGTTTTTTATCAATAACTTTTTCCTTATGATATTTATCCTTGAGCAATGTTTTGTATCAATATTTTTTTTGCTATGATATTTATCCTTGAGCATTCCTTATTTTCTCACTTGTGATCACTTAATCATTTAGTAGCTGTGACTGTCAGTGCTGTTCATCATTGTTATGACAGGGATTCTTGTCATGTGGTTTAGGGACAATACCTTGATGTGATTACTGAGTTAGAGGGCTGCTCGCATAGATCACAACCTTTCCTAGAAGTCATTATAGAATAGGTAACTCACTGTATCGGTCATATCTTTTTAATAAGGATACAGTTATTGTCTCCGATCACATTCTACTTGCATAGGCTGTTTTGTATCAATTTTTTCCCCTATGATATTTATCCTTGAGCATTCCTTATTTTCTCACTTGTGATCACTTAATCATTTAGTAGCTGTGACTGTCAGTGCTGTTCATCCTTGTTATGATAGGGATTCTTGTCATTTGGTTTAGGGACAATGCCTTGATGTGATTACTGAGTTAGAGGTCTGCTTGCATAGGTCACAACCTTTCGTGGAAGTCATTATAGAATAGGTAATTCACTGTATCGGTCTAGCAGCAGGTTCTGATGGAAGAGTTGCCACTGTTATCCTTGGAAATGGGTCCACACTTGAAGCAGATACAGTATGTTTTTTATCAATAACTTTTTCCTTATGATATTTATCCTTGAGCAATGTTTTGTATCAATATTTTTTTTGCTATGATATTTATCCTTGAGCATTCCTTATTTTCTCACTTGTGATCACTTAATCATTTAGTAGCTGTGACTGTCAGTGCTGTTCATCCTTGTTATGATAGGGATTCTTGTCATTTGGTTTAGGGACAATGCCTTGATGTGATTACTGAGTTAGAGGTCTGCTTGCATAGGTCACAACCTTTCGTGGAAGTCATTATAGAATAGGTAATTCACTGTATCGGTCATATCTTTTTAATAAGGATTAAGTTCTTGTCTCCGATCACATTATACTTGTGTTTTCTTTCTTGGTAGTCTCAAAAGTAGAAAGGTGGAGAGAACCTCTTGAATTTAAGATTTAACACCTAAAAAGGAAAGGAAAAAAAGGACACAGAGTGCAATTTTTTGATAAAACATTGACGGACAAGAAATTAATTTGTTAATTTTTTTAGCTGGTTCATTTTAGAATAGCTAGTCTTGCATCTCAGACTACCTTGAATGAAAGATCACTTCACACTATGTTTCCGAGTTAAGAAGTATGAAATCAATTGCTGATTTCTTTACAAAACATAAATGCAGGTCATTGTTGGAATTGGAGCAAAGCCAGCAGTTGGTCCCTTTGAGGCTGTTGGGTTGAATAAAACTGTGGGAGGAATTGAGGTCAGTCTTCAAGACTGTTATTCCGTCATAATTAATCCTTTTCAAATACCCTTTTTCGCCTTTGTGTTTGTATTAATCTCATTTATGGGATTGCTTTAACATGAATTTTGATGTAAAGTGAATATTATCCTGATAATAATTTTAAAGCAGAAGTAAGAGCGGATATTTATTGTCACACAGTTCACCTTTGGAATTTGGGTTGATGTAAGCCATTATGTTGAGAGCGGGACATTGATGCAGTAAAGGGTATTCTCATAATGAGGGAATTCAGTTTATATTTTTAAGCTGATGTACTTCCATTGCTTTTACGTGAGACCGCCTGATGGAACAGAATCAGAAAAGAATAAAATACTGATAAATGGAATATAACTGTATAAATCACTTGCGTGGAGCCATAGATTTGTCAGCTGGTTGTTAAGTCCATATGATGCTAAACTCTCAGCCTGTTTTATTGGCATCCAACTGCACCAAACTGGAATGTTGGTCTATATCCAACTACTGTACGGTCTAAACAAATTGACCGTAACTCTGTTTTTGAACTTAAATGCATAGTACGACATGGTTGACTTCATAGATGGCTATCTGCTTGTCATCAATCTGAAAGATCTTCGTCTCATCTTTTTTGCTGTCCTCCACATTCATTGACATTTTGGCGTCGCCTCATAAGCACGACTGAGGGCAATATAAGGTTACCGTTCCTGTTTGTCGTTGTTATCATTTGTATATTATGGTCTGTTGAGTTTTCTCTTCATTTCTATGGGTGTGTTCGACCATTTATGGTGGAGCAATATGCTACTCTGATAACATTATAATTTAACCAAATGTGTTTGATTAGATGGAGGGAAAACTACAAATAAGAGTAGCATATTTGGTCTGAATTTCTCAAGATGCTAGTAACAAATCTTAAATTCGTAGACATTCAACATATTTGTTGTGAAGGAGACCAGCAGTTTAGCCTCTAATGCAAAATACTCAAGTTAACATGAATTTTGTAAATTTGGTCAGCTATACATAGGCAGGATTCTAGCTACAAAGGCTCTTGGTTATAGTTAGAGATAATTGCCTTAGTCAAATTGACATACATGAATGTTGCTCCTTGCAAGGGTTAATGAAATAATGTACTTATGGTTTTGAAAAAATTGTCACTTGCACTAGTGTTTAGAATCATATTGGCATCTAACCATCATTTTTTATGTTTGATTAATATCTTTCCCAGGTTGATAGCCTTTTCCGTACTAGTGTTCCAGGTGTTTTTGCTATTGGAGATGTAGCAGCCTTTCCCTTGAAGGTAATCAGTCTACATTCTTGTATTTTGTTTAAAATGTTTTCGTATTCCCATGTGAATAGCGAGATTGTGATTATATTTTCTGTTAGATGTATGATCGGATTGCACGGGTAGAACATGTAGATCATGCTCGAAAATCAGCTCAACACTGTGTTAAGGCACTTCTAACAGCCCAAACTCACCCGTAAGTCAATTGGCCTTTGTTTACTTCATTAATTTTGTGTAAGATCTTGATATGTACTTATTGTTACTCTTATGATTCCTCCCACTTGCTCCAGTTATGATTACCTGCCATATTTCTACTCAAGGGTCTTCGAATATGAGGGAAGCAAAAGGAAAGTTTGGTGGCAATTCTTTGGAGATAATGGTAACATGATTGAAATCATTCAAATGAAAGTTCACTTCAAATACAACTTGTTCTCTATTTCTTTGGTTTTTTTTCCCTTTCGTCTGGAGCTAGTTTATCATGGCTATTTTTCTACTTTATGCAGTTGGCGATACTATTGAAGTTGGAAATTTTGATCCAAAAATTGCAACGTTCTGGATAGATAATGGTAATTGCTTTCAAATCCTTAAGCTATTTTGTCATGTTTCGCAGTTTTACTGATTCACTAATTTCCTAACCATGCAGATAGTAGATTAAAAGGCATTTTCCTTGAGAGTGGAAGTCCAGAGGTATTATCTACCTCCTTTGTTGGTATAATATTTCTTATTTCCTTGTGATAGGGCAGATAGATATTTCAGAGAAATTATTTTTGTAAAAAAGGTTAAGCACTTATGTAAGCTATGTATGCTATGAGCACTAGTGTATGTTGACGGAGTCAAAGCTTGCACAATGCAACTTTTCACTTCTGTAGGTGAAAATAGTAGACCACGTACCGGTATGCTGTTTTTTCTAGCATACAATGATTTTACAGTTTATCTGAATTCTAGGTCTGAAAAATTGTGTTTTATCGAGAATTTAGCTTGATCCGATTAGGTTGTTTCAATGCTACCGATCTTTTGACAAGCAGTTTGTCTTCTGGCCACCCCCTGAAAAATCGAGGCCTCAAGTCCTAATACGTCATTATACCTCATTACCATGCCTCCAATTTGGTGTCATGAGAAACTTCCAGTCTTGCACTTTCTTAGACCTTGAACTAGTTTTAAGTGTTCTCTTCTCATGCTTTCAGGAATTTGGTCTCCTTCCTCGGCTTGCCAGGTTGCAGCCAATAGTGGACAAAGAAAAGCTTAAGAGTGCATCTTCTGTTGAAGCTGCATTAGAAATTGTGACGAACTCCCTCCAGGTTGCCCTCTGAGCTCATTGCAGGATATAATGTACCTCGCCGCCTCATCTCAAAAATCCATGCAACAGTATCCTACGATTTTTCACCCCTCTTTCTTGCATTAGTGCTACCGTTCCTTCTCCATCGTGTTTAATCACGGTTACAGTGTTTTCTTGATAATAAATCACAGTTCGGGTTAATCCTATTCGTTCCGTTTTGGAGACCAAGCTATTGTTGCTTCTGTACAAACTCGTAGATTTTATTTGTAGAACTTAATGGTCGTTGCCTGGTTTTACATGTCAAGCGAGAGAATAATGATTTTTGATATGAACGCTAGAAAGATATATACATGTACTCAAAACAAGTGAAATAATGTGATTAACGTTCAGTAAGTTCTATTTTGAACACTTCTTATTTTCTTTGTTTTTGTGATGAGTTCTTACTGTTGAAATCTTGTTTGGATTTTAACACTCGAGGAAGCTGACCATGATCTTCTAATTGGCCTTATGATCCTTTTGCTTTTATTTAGAAGAACAATGAGGGTAGACGTACCCACCATAACGATTTGTATGGCTCGTTCCTGTTGGGCCTGAGCTTAATTATCAATATGCTTCAAAATCACCAGTGAAATACAATCAGACTCTGCATGCCACTATTTTTAAATAGGTTTGCCTTGTAGCACCAAAATATTATGCAAACTATAGGTGCATTTTGTATAATTTCACCTGTTTTCTTATTGTCACTTTTCCATTATAATCCCACCGGCACAGCTGAAATTTCCTGAATTTGTTTGGATGAATTTGTGAAGGGACAATTTTTGAAAACAGACCCCTTTGCAAATTTATTCCCAAAAAAGACTTGTTTCCACTTTATTTTTAAAAAACGACCTAGTTTTAGCCACAGTACTGAAACTGGGTCGGTTTTTGGGAAAAATGTTCTCAAACTTCACGGGAGTTGAACTCCCGTGAAGTTTTATTTTGAAAAAAACTTCACGGGAGTTCGACTCCCGTGAAGTTTAAGAACATTTTTCGCAAAAAACGACCCAGTTTCAGCCTCAGGGCTAAAACTGGATCATTTTTTGCGAATGTTTTCAAAATAGGTCTTTTTTGAGAATTTTTTTACAAAAAGGTCTGTTTTAAAATTTTGCCCATTTGTGAAGGGTTCTAGTGGGGGACAGCGTGAGATCACAACTTGGGGACCAATAGATTTTGAGGCCTGCTGGAATTTGCTAGGAGCCGAAGTCCTGGCCTAACATTTCACTTTCATACGCTTTAATTTTTTACCAAATAGCTATTGAGATTACTTGCCCTTGGGTTCAAGATAACTCCCAAAAAAAAAAGGAAAAAGGCACCAACTTGGAAACGTTAAGTCTTTTTTTTTTCCCGACGGGTCAAGTCGCACTGAGGCAAGCGTCATGCTTTTCATAAAAAGAACTGGTTGTAAATGAAGGCGAAACTGCAACACAAGTCATCTAAAAACTAATATGAAAATTCTCATACAGATGACAATCACATAACATTTATTTAGAAAAACTAATTTGACTTTCCTTTTTAAAGATCATAAACCGATCATTTTTAATAGGAATATATAACTGATGATAATTTGTTAAATTATATATTGAAGATAGAAACTTTATAAGTAAAAGTTAGTAGCTCTACGTCACGTGATAATAAATCGCAATGAGTTGTGAGATTTTCAAATTAATACTAATGTAAAACAAATAAGAGAATGAAATGGAGATAGAAGAACTTCAACAGAATTCCCTCGGCTAGAGAAAACCTTTGTTGAAATCAACAAAGAAGAAAAATTAGCAATTTAAAGAGTTTTTTAATCATTACTTTTAGCAAACCGACTATCCTAAATTGAGTCCTAATATGTGTAAGTGTAAACCAGCCTCCTTGTCGCTAATCACATATGAGGGGCAAAGTTTTTCAGATTTAAGTCATTGGTTGTTCACATGGGAAGCCTCTTCATACGAGCAATAGGTGTGTTTAGCAACTCATTGAAAATGAATTAAGATTGGCCTTGAATCTGATTTTAAATAGAAAGGATTAGCGGCGCAGCTTGTTGTCCGCTTGTCATCATCACACGTGTAATATATATATAATATTTCAAAATTTTTATATAAAAGAAAAAGAAAATAGAATCAATTTAATTTTGAACTAGGTTCTCTTGATCTACAACTAAACCAGATTAAATCCCAAAAAATAAACTAAAACAAATTGGAGTATTTCTTGCTCAAATTTTGCCTTTTTAACTTGTTCGGGTGCAAAGATGGTCTAGTTTGAGAGAGCCAACGAAAATATTCAGTCGTGGAAACTACTATGCAATAATCAAATTGACAGGTACCGCAACACAAGAATTCCTCAATCATTTATCAAATGCTTCCAAAAAAAAGAAAAAAGAAATCATCAAATGCTCTGGTCGGCGTGGCAGAACAAAATACAGTAGGTCAGTACCAAATCCCGCCTGTTCGCTGTTCCACACCAAACAAATGATCTTACACACATCCCATCAGGAGATTGGAAAAAAAAAAAAAGTCTTTGGCTATGAAACTCGTGGGCGGCCGTCCAATCTCTCAACGGTTCATCTCCAAACCCTCGGAGAGAACGAATCCATCTCCTTGCGATTTTCCTTCCAATTTCTGGTGTGAACCCTAATCTCTCTATTATTTCTTTAATTTATCGTCTATTCTCGATCTATTTGAACTTCTGAGCTGAAATTTCGGTGAAAGAGGAAAATAAATTTGAGGTAATTTAGGATTTGTGTTGCTTAGTTTAAACAGATCTGGGATATTTCGTTGTATTTGTTGTGGATCTGATAGAATATTGTTAGATTTAAGGTTTTAAGTGATGATTTTGTGCAAATTCGTTGATTTTTTTTAGTTGAAATATCTTCTTGACCTGATTTAGATCTGCTGAAGGTGTATTGATGTAGTAATTTGATTTTTTTAGTTGAAATATCTTCTTGACCTGATTTAGATCTGCTGAAGGTGTATTGATGTAGTAATTTGATTATGGAGGTCCCTTCTTGACCTGATTTAGATCTGCTGAAGGTGTATTGATGTAGTAATTTGATTATGGAGGTCCTTGATGAAGTTTCTTCTTGAATTAAAAGGATAATAGAAGGATGAACAATATATTATATATATTGATTTAGGTTAGCTAGGTATTTATTTTGTGCTGATGGTCTAGGTATTCATCAAGGATGAACGGCATATGATAGATCGCTAACCATTTTGTATGTTTACTAAAGTTGATTCTTATGGTTGATCTATTTGTTTGAATTTATGATTTAGATCTTTTTTGATTCTTGGGATTCTTGAGGTATTTAGTTAAAGGAATAATCTTGAGGTTGATTTTGGATGATGTTAATTGACTGCGCTTATACTATATCAAAAGGTTTTAGATAGAATTTCATATTTGTTTCATTTCTAGTATATCTAACAATTTGTTGTGTATTATGCTGATTCTTAAGGTTGATCTATTTGTTTGAATTTATGATTTAGGTCTAGTTTTGGAGTTTTGGAATTCTTGTGGGTATTTAATTAAATGAATCATCTTTAGTTTGATTTTAGAGAATCTTAACTGACTCTATTTATATAGATTTATGTAGTTGTTTAGTAAGAGACTAAAATATGTATATCTATCTATAAGATTTCGATGTTCATGCAATACACATGTATTAAGCTTACTGATTTTGGAAGTGCTTGATGATTCTTTTTTTGCTTGTTGTTTTTCTTTTCCAATTTTGTGCATATGGAATGATAGTAAGACTGTGATATGTTAGAACCTTTTACCTAAATATTGTCTTTATATTTATATTGTTTGGTTATGTTTAGTAATTGTTTGTGGTGATACATGATATGCTATCACCAGAAACACGCATAATACTAGGTAAAAATGCTCGAGTCTATCATGATCTCAATAACCCACTCCATGTGTGAAATAATGCGGGGAGCTAAAAAAACATGTGAGACTTTCAAACTTTGTAAGTTTAAGATATGTCTGTCCTGTAATCATGCGTATCAAAAAAATTCATTGATAGATTTATAGATTTTAGCCTTTTACTTGTGTAATATTTTATGAATTAAGTTGGTTAACAAATTGTAAAAATTAAACTATAGGTTCTCCATTTAACTAAATTTCCACATGAAATCCAAGACTCTGAAAACAGATCTAGATCGTACTTTCGAACAAATATGCCAACCTCAAGAATCAACGTTAATATACATAACAAATTGGTAGATATAGTAGAAATAAAACAAATATGAAAACTTGATTCCCTTTTATCTAAATATTATTTTTATATATTTTTATGCTTGCTAATTGTTTCTGGTGATAGACGGCTAATCACGCAACTGTGATTTGCATTCTCCACTCTTTTCATCATTGTCTTTGTTATTAGATTGATTTTGTGTAAAGATTGGTGTTGATTTGGTATGTAATGATATGAACTGGTCATTGGTTATTTGAATAATTGTCATCTTTAACCCTTGCGCCTGCGCACATCTGTGCACATATGCTTTCGCATATACATGCCTATCACACATGCACATATGCCGACACATTTCAAAAGCTTTCACAAGGATGCTTGTTGTACTTTGATGACATCTTAGTCTAGATTACAATCCAGCGGGCTTAATTCTAACTCCATTGTATAGTCGCACTTTACATTTCCATAAAACATGTTCATCTTTATACTTAAGCTACCTAACAAATTGTGTCAAGGACTGTGAGATAAAATTGTATGGAGTTTGATGGAGTCGCGATAAAGATTTCCCATAATTTGACTCAAATATAAACTCAGATATAAACAATAATTAACGTTTGCAAGGTTTGAGGAGACATGAATTCAAATTATGAGGAAGGAATTTAATTGCATCTTTTTTCTTTGGTTTCCAATTCTTTAACGAATCTGCTATACCTCTCCATGCAAGCGGTGCTTGAAGTTAAAGATATATAGACTTTTCATTGAAGTATTGCATAAAGTATTTTTTTTCCTCCCAAACAGTTGAATCAAAATGAGCCGACCTCATGATGCACAACGGACCTCTTTGCCATTTGGAAATCCCTTCCGTATGATTCTGCCTAGGGGGTCTTCTGTCACCAAAGCTTCTTTCCCTACTTACATCCTTTGAGCAAACCTTGAATGTAAACTTAAGGAAGCTCAAGCCTGCAAATACGTCAGATGTTCTCAGCTTATCATGGATGAGGCATGCCATGTCTTTATTGTCTGAGATGCATATTAATATCAACACTTTGACAACTGCTCTTCAGTTCCCTGTTTCTGACTGGGATGAGAAATGGATGGACGTGTATCTAAACGACAGTGTGAAGCTGCTCGACATCTGCAATGCATTAACCTCCGAGCTCTCACGATTGGAGCAATGTCAGCTCTTGCTTAAATACTCTTTGCACATTTTGGACTCGACTGGCTCTTCTCCTACATCTGAAGACCTCAAGCGAGTCCATTCATCACTTCACAACTGGATGGAGAAGATTCATTCCAGGAGTCCAAAGCTGGAGAGCAGCTCTTCCATCTTGCAAGAGCTTACTGCGACACTTCAGTTGGTTAAAGTCAAGAAATCGGCCAAAGGCAAGGTTCTGATGAGAGCCTTGTATGGTGTAAAGGTTGTGTCTATATTTGTTTGTAGTGTGTTCACAGCAGCCTTATCAGGTTGCTCAAAGCCACTGACAGATTTGCATATTTCTGGGGATTTCTTGTGGGCTGAGGCTTTTGGTGATCTGCAAGCTTCCGTTAATGGAGAAATCAGATATCTTTTAAAACTAGGGAAGTGTGGAGTACTGAAAGAGCTTGAGGCAGTTTCTGCACGTGCTGTGAAGTTGCACGACTTGAGCATTGGCCTCGATCAAAGGAAGAAAGATAAGCCAAGTACTGACGCTGACAAGGATACTAATACCGAGGAAGTGGAGAGATGGAAGGATTCGACTTCAGATTTGGCCAAAAGTGCTGAAACCTTTGCTTGTGAGCTCGACCTCCTCTCCAAGCAAGTTGAGGAGTTTTTTCATCTCGTTCTGGGTGGTCGAAATGTGTTGCTTTGTAGCCTTACCACCTCCAATGTACAGGGTAAGGGGAAAGCAGATAAAGTCAGGTAAATCGTGTTGCATCTATGTAAGGTTTATAGCGTGTTTAGAGCGGTCTTTGTTTGTTCTACCTGTGATGTTTGTTGCGTGGGTATTAGGAAATCTAAGGTTGGTTGTGCCCCCGTGTTTGCTCTATCACTTGTACGTATATCTTCGTAATTTTAGGAGTGATGTTATATCTATGGTTATCGTACGTATCATGTGTTTGTTGGTAATTTGCTGTGTGATGTTTGTACTGTCACCGGCGTCAAAATGCTCACCTTAAGACACCCAGGATGATGGATATGATGAGCTTGATATATCAAACTATATACGCTACAAACTTAAATTTATCAACTATGAGGCGTATACGCTGCCTCTGTGGACAACATCATAGAAAGCCCTTTGAGCCTAGCATAGGAAGGAAAGCTTTGTTGTTGCGGCTTTGTGATTAATGCTAATGGGCATTTTCTTAGAAAACAAAACGGTGGGAAGCTTTGTTTTCTTATCCCTCTAAGTACCTTATGTTTGCCCTGCATTGAAGGATGAGTGTTTTTACATAATATAGTTAGAGAAATAAGGTTGATCTCATATAGGAAAGAGATTAATGGGTGTCCTATGTTAAGGAGGGGATTTTCCTCCTTGACACCTATGCGGCACAATCCCCACCGTCCTACCGAGGATGGTGGGGATTGTGCCACATAGCCGTCAATGAGGGAAATCCCCTCCTTAACAAGGATACCCATTAATCTCTATAGGAAGGAGAGACTAATGGAAAGAGATTAAACTGCTCCGTTATGGCTTCGTTCATTTGAACTTTTGTTAACACGATTCATCTCAGTGGTAACTATTATCGACATTATTACCCGTAGACATTATTGCTGTTGTTACCGTTACCAGCACGGTCGTAGTTGCTTCTGATTTTGCTTCTTGGTACTTTCATCACAAGTCAACTTTATCTTGTTCGCTTTGTGATTCAACTCCCTTCCCCAGCCGCCTTACCCTGTCTTTGATTCTTTAATAACATTATAAACACATTTTTGAACTTTAGACCTAGTCAAGCAACTTATCTTCAACGTTTTCATATTATTACAAGACCTTTATTATTGAATGGCAACGTCCGTAATGATTTAGAGAGAATTGAAACTAGGTTGCCAGTAACGTCCATAGTGACTCTGTTTTAAACTTTTACACCAAACATGGAACTGGGCTTTAGTAATTAATGTATTTCACAAATCTAGAATCCCTTATCGACTAAATGCAAATTGAGATTTGATCACCCTCTCAAATATCGTTATTGTTAACTGTCATTGTTGCGCGTGCAAAGATACACATGCAACCGACATTAAAAATTTTAATTATCCTAATTTTTATTTAAAAAGAGTCATTTTAATGTCCTTCCTATTAGTTCTAAGATTTTTTATGATATTTATTTATATAATATGTGATGTTTTATCTTAGATAATTCAAAATTGGTTAAGATGTGTTTAGATTGGAATATATCTAAATTCTATTTGTTGTTCTTGTTGTTTTTATTTACATGGGAAATAACTTTTATCATTTCTAAAGCTCTATTATAAGCTTTAGAAAGTTTTAGAACTAAATAAAAAGGAAATAAGAATATTTTGTAAACTGACCAATTTTTCATCATGTATTTAGTGAGATGGAAGGTCATTTTCCCATATTCATGAAAATTTTCCTGTTCTCACTGAGTTTTTAGCATATGAGTATAGATACTGTGATTTCAACGATCAAGAAACTCGACTCGTCATCACCATTATATTCAATTTATTGATGACACAGAGAAGCTCTATTATTCCATTCAAGCAACACTAAATCAAGCGGTACATAAAAATGAAGGCCCAATGGATTCACGCTAGTTAGGTGCTGACATTGATCTCCGTCTTCCTCCTCCTCGGAAAAATCCTAGTTCGCAGGTGATTCTTCATCACCACCGTAAGCTCCAAAGTCTCCGATAAATCCACCTCATCCCCCTCCACCGCCTTCCACTCGAACTCCCTCACCAAATTCGCCACGAAATACTCCAAATGCAGCATCGCGAGCCCGAGCCCAGGGCAAATCCTCCTCCCTACTCCAAACGGCATCATCATTATCTCCCTACTCCCCGTTATATCCACGTCCTCTGCCTCCCCGCCGGCTAGGAATCTCTCTGGCCTGAACTCCGTCGGATCCGACCAGATTTTCTCGTCCATTCCCAAATCCGCCGCCATAACGTTCACCGACGCATCTTTGGGCACGACATATCCTCCGACCTCAATATCCTCCGTCGCCATGTGCGGTAGCACGAAGTGCCTCGGCGGCCCCGGCGGGTGCCTTCGTAGTCCTTCCAATACCACCGCCTTCAGATACGGCATCCCTTGCAGATCCTCCTCCTCCACCTTCTCTTTCGCCCCCACTACATTCTCGATCTCTTCGGCGAGCCTACCTTGAATCTTCGGATTCTTCACGAGCTCTGCCATCGTCCACTCTAGCGCTGTCGTGGTCGTGTCAGTACCCACAGTCAAGAACTCAGAACAGAGGCTGACAATCTCCCCTTTGGTGAGCTGCCTCCCTCCGTCATCGGGGATCGAAAGCTCGAGGAGAGAACCGACATACGAGCAGACGCTCCCCCCTCGTGCTCTGATAAGCGGGATAAAGATGGACTTTAAACTTACCTAAACGTACGAAAGTTAGACTGAGTCAGGTATTGTTGTTGTTAATGCTAGCGCTTCAGCGTTCAAGAAACTCGACTCGCTCTGTTATTGCCATTAAGTAAACACTAGGAACACTACAAATCAAAGCGGTAACGTGTCGTGGAGTGAAACACACAGTGTCCTCGACTAATCCAGAGGGCGCATTACTGTTTCTCCATCTCCTTCGGCCGCGCCTTAGCCGCGGCACCAGGTCTTGCCGCGCCGCCATGCATTGCTCGATGACGTGTATATTGTTCTTCTATGTCGTCTTGAGTGGTGTTTGAATGTCTGTAAGCATTTTTTGATGTCTACAATCATCTTTACGCGGTTTTTTTTTTTTGAATTTCTAGAAAAAAGGTTGGGGGTGCAGCTGCTGAGATGATGTTTGTGGAGATGGTTTCTAAGACCATCTCCAACCGGCCTCTATATCTCCAAAATCTCCAAATTTGGAGAGTGGAACCTCTCCAACCACTCTCCAAATTTGGAGATCCCCAAATTTGACCCTCCAAATTTGGTGGGTGAGGAGAAAAAATGGAGTGTCTCTCCATAATACTATTCATGGTTTATTAATTACAATTTTGTCATTTTTAACTATTTGATTTCTTAAAAATTACCACTTTGCCATCCTTCTTAGTAATTTAAATAAGATGTTTAATTTCAAATAAATATAGTTAAAAAATTATTAATCTAATATTTGAAATCATTATATATTTGGAAAGGGCTCGTTGAGATCTTTAAAATGAAACTAAGATTAATTTATTTAAGTATTATTATAAATTAAATAAATAAGTATCAGACATGAAATTTTAAATACGGGGATCTATTTAACTTGCTCCATAAGAAAATACAAGCATAAATTATAATATTTAAAATACAAGCATATGTTGTATTGCAGTATTAATATATTAAGTTCATTTTAAAGCTCTCATCGACACCTTTATAATGTTATAATTTTTTTCCAAATAAATTATTAACAATAAAATTATTAACGTAAACTATATCCAACATTATTTAATTTATATGGCTTTTTTGATAAAAAAATAAAAATAAAAATATTTGGAGAGTGTGGGTTGGAGCAACCCTCCAAATTTCACCCTCCAAATTGGAATATTCCTAGAATATTCCAATTTGGAGGGTGAAATTTGGAGGGTATGGTTGGAGATGTCCTAAGCTTATAAAGACATAGGAAATTCTTTAAATTCGTTTTTTTAGAACTGATTTTAAAGGTTAATTTTACATGGGAAGATCCAGTGGGATACAGAGAATATCACAACATGCTATATAAGATTCAGTGTGATACAGAGCATATCAGTATTCCAGGTATGAATGATAATGAAAAACTTTCACAATCCTTCTATGTGCTTCTTTATGTGTAGGACAGCAGCATGCATGCATGTGGTTCTAACATCATTTGTACTAGAATCGATGCTTTAAGTTTACTTTAAACTACAAACCAATATTTATCATTCATACACACTCTCTCTCTCTCTCTCTGAAACCCTCTGGGCAGAATCGATCGATATATCATAGAAAGCCCTTCGAGCATAGCTAGCATATGAAGAGACGAAATCTGTTATGATGGCCTTGTGATTAATACCATTGGGTACCTTCTCAGAAAACAAAGCAACGGGAAGCTTTGTTATTTTATCCCTCTATTTAGCTTGACTAATTAGTTAGAGAAGGCAGGTTGATCTCACATCGGAGAACAGTGTTAATTAAGTAACTTGCAAGGGAGAAAAAAAAAGACAACGCTAGCTTCTGCTATTATTATCAGTTGTTCGTCTAACTGCTATTTAATCAATTTGTTTTTTTTTTTTGTTTTTTTGAACTTTGGTTAACATGATCCATCTCCATGGTAACTATTATCGACAATGTTACTCGTAGACATCGTCGTTGTTGTCATCGTCATAGTTTCGGTGCTTCATTTATTTATCTTGTTTCCTGGTGATTCAACGCCATTCGCCAACCGCCTTACCGTCTTTGATTCTTTAATGTAATACTGTGAACATATTATTGATCGTAAGAAACGAATCAATCGGCTTATCTTCAACGTTTTCATAGTCCAACACAGCATTCAACGCCGACCTACATTATCGAAGGACAAAGTCCGCAGTATGCTTAATCTTCATGCTTCTCCTTTTATCCAATATAAGTTTTATTCACAGTGTAATTCAGAGTTACTACACAGTGTGATTGGATCTCTACGAAACTTCGACGTTAATTCAGAGAGAATTGCAACTAGGCTGCCACTTATGTATTGTACTCAACCAAGAATTATTTCACGGAGATCTTCTCCACAATGATTCTGCTTTAAACTTACACTAAACGTACGAAATTAGACTGTAGTAAGGTATTTGTTGTTGTTAATGCTAGCGCTTCAGCGTTCAAGAAACTCGACTCGTTCTCTGTTATTCCATTTAAGTAAACACTAGGCGAAACACTAACAAATCAAAGCGGTACGTACGTGGAGATGAACACACAGTGGTCTCACGCTACCAGAGGGCTGCATTAATTGTTCTCCATCTTCCTTCCCTTCCTCGGAACAATCCTAGCTCGCAAGTGATTCTTCATCACCATCGTGAGCTCAAACGTCTCCGATAAATCCACCTCCTCCCCCTCCACCGCCTTCCACTCGAACTCCCTCACCAAATTCGCCACGAAATACTCCAAATGCAGCATCGCGAGCCCGAGCCCGGGGCAAATCCTCCTCCCTACTCCAAACGGCATCATCATTATCTCCCTACTCCCCGTTATATCCACGTCCTCTGCCTCCCCGTCGGTCAGGAATCTCTCCGGCCTGAACTCCGTCGGATCCGACCAAACTTTCTCGTCCATCCCCAAATCCGCCACCATAACGTTCACCGACGCATCTTTAGGCACCACGTATCCTCCGACCTCAATATCCTCCGTCGCTATGTGGGGTAACACGAAGTGCCCTGGCGGGTGCCTTCGGAGTCCTTCCAACACCACCGCCTTCAGATACGGCATCCCCCGCAGATCCTCTTCCTTCACCTTCTCTTTTGTTACGCTCTCTATCTCTTCGGCGAGCCTACCTTGAATCTCCGGATTCTTCACGAGCTCCGCCATCGCCCAC